AACTGATAATTTAAATACAGTGTTTATAAAAGTTAAAAATAGAAAGCTAATTTAAGAATAAGATTCATCTAAATGGTTTGAGAGTGAAAGATTTTAGAGAAAATAAGCTGGCAAAGAGGGCCATTTTTGTATTCTGGTAGATCAGGAGGCCATTAAAACCACTTACCAAACACCCAAATGAAGTTGTTTGCCTGAACAGTTTATAGTCCGGTGTCACTTGAACATAGCAAGGGGATTCAAATAAAGAGATAGCCTATTGCTATTTCTAATTTATATCAATGAAGTAGTGGCTATCTGTAAAAGAAAAAACATAGAGGACATTCCTGGAGAATAGAAACCTTCGTCCAGTGGTGATTCAACTTCTCCTATGATGCTGACGTTGTCCTTGGTGATATTATTCTTGTCCCTGATTCGGTTGAAAAGTTACAGCAGGCAGTGACCAAATGATATGCGGAACTTCACCGAAAATAGATGAAAATAAATACTAGCAAAAGCAAAGTATTACAAGTAGAAAGGCAGATTGAAAATGCAGTAGAAGTGCTCCTTCATCTCAATCTGCATTTTCAATAAAAAATATACTAAACTCTGTCTAGAATCGTGTATTGTGGTACTAATAATGCCACTATAATGTGAAATTAATAATGTCTCTTTAATTAGTGATATTAATGTTACCATTTTTAAACATAGGGAAAATTATAGAATAGTCAACACTGAGAAGGGGGATTGGTTTCCTTATCAAAAATATAATGATAAAAAGGCTTCTTGTTATAATTCAGGACCATATTTGTGAAATTCATAAACAATCTGATCATGCCAGGATCTATATTTGATTTTAACCTATTTATAACATCCATGACTAAATAAATCGTTTTGGATGTAGAACTAATGATTAATTTGAGCCATAATTAAATAAATAGTTTAAATGTGAAGCACAATTATCTACAGATATATTATTACTGCAAACAAAGTTTGTTGGCTTAAAATTATTAATTAGGTTCCACACTTCTTAATTATTTTTTACACTTTTAATTTAATTGACTATGGAAGAAAAGAACTCTATAATGTTTAAAGAACTATATAACATTCTTTTTTGATAAGCCATAAGTTTTTTGAAATGTAAGTGATCCTAAATGTATTATTTAACTAAAATAGAGTTGGATTTTCAAAGCAGTTTCAAGAGTTAAAACTCTGTTTCCTAGTGTGCAAGTAAGCCCATAAAATCTAGCATTTTTTCTAATTCTTTCAATATAAGATGAGTGTGGGGTGGGAGGCTAGTGTGATTATATCTCATTAAATTTAAATGGTAAAATGGTCTAAGCAAACGTTTTATTTGGGAAGCCTATAGTTTGAAAACTGGGTGTTCAATTTGACCCAAACTTGGAGGAAATTTGGAGAATAGTGTAGAAATTTCCTAATACGAATTTCATGAATTCCATTTAATAATTAAAATTCATATAAATAATTTTTAACAATATAATGGCAGTGAAATGTGTAAGGCAACTGATCATATAGTGGGAATTAGGTTATGACAATATTTTTACGGAGTTATAAAATTTTAGGTTTTATTCAAAAAGTTAATTTGTACTGTATTATTTTGTCGATTCCAAACGTTACTTAGATTTCGTGTAATTTTCAATAATTTTAAATTAATTTTTACTCTGAGTTTGTAAAAAAGAAAAATCTTATTTGTGATTGTGTTTATTTATATTAAAGTTCAACCAGCTCGTCGTGGTATCGAGTTTATGTGTGATTTTTACTTATAGTTTTATATTCCATCTTAAATAGTTCTGACTGAAGAAAAGTTTTGGTCTCGTTAACTCAAAAAAACAAAAAGTTTAGTTTTCCTTATTTCTCTTAAGGAGTTTTTGTAACATCGATTTTACGAGTGAAAACATGCCCATTAAGTCGCTGATGAACAAAATTCGTGTATATCAAACCCCGTATATGTTGATGGATTACTGAATTACCGAAAAATGCTTTTCCCAAAGATTTTATTCTCATGCCAAAAATTTTAGACCTTGTAATATAGATATTTTTTTGCCAATGTAAAAGGTTAGGAAGCTATACTGACCTTCCTTGGCAGACGTTTTTATAGCATCACAGTTCGGTTCCCTATAGTCTGAACTAAAATTGATAATTGATATGGAAATTTATTAAATAATAAAAATATCTTCTAATTATTTCATAAGTTTCAGAATATGTATATTAATATTCATTTCTAGTTTATTTTTTTATAAATTATTTAATTAATAAATATAATAATCAAAAGGGAAATATTAGGCCATTTAGCGTAACCTCCACCCCCAGCATATCAAAATTTATAATAAGGTTATATAGGCCAAACGACCCAATATTTTTGTAGGCCAGTTTTTTTTTCCTGTTTTGTGATCAAATTATCTTATGATTTAAGTGGAAAGAAAATGAGTATTTACAAGTTATTAATACCTTATTAAATTAATTAATTTAAACACCCCATTTATGAGAATTTTAGTAAATAAAAAATTTTTAGATTACGATAAGAAGAAGCCTTCACAAAGTTTTAGGTGGATGTTAATAATTTGATTAAAAAGGGGTCTGTTGACGATGGACTATTGTAATTTGTAATTTTTAGTTTCTATAAAAATTCGTATTTAATACTTTTAAAGGGCACTGAAAACTTGTTTTTTATAACAAAAATTTATTTTGCCTACTTTACTGGAAGCGCCATTAGTATTTTACTTTCCTACCTATACTAGATGAGGAAAGTATTGCGATCGGGTCAAATTTCTGATATGCAGTTTTCGACAGATCTATATGTTTCAGAGCTCCCGAATCTGTAAAAACATTTTTAGCCATTATTCTGTCTGTACCAAGATTTTCTCGGGAACTACTGAACTGATTTTGTTGCTTCTTTTTTTATTATGTAGGGTTTTGACTACTGTGACAGAAATTCAGTGCTCCATTCGCAATAGTTTACGCGCAATAAATAAAAAACATGTTTTTCTGTAGACTGTTAGCACAAAAACAGCTCTAACGATTTTGATGAAACTTTCCTATAATGTTCTTATAATTGTCCTTTCATTTTTCGTATGTGGACTAAATTCTCGATAAAATTCAGGAAAAAAAGTTATAAAGAAAAGAAAAATGTTTTGGGGCCTAACTCGCTAAATGTATATTATATGGTCAAATTTATAAGTTCATATCCTGGTGTCAGAAAGGGGTAATGGGAGAAAAAAGATGACAAAAAGTGAAAGTGACAAAAAAGAAAGTGAAAGGAAGAAAATCTGTTGCCCGTATCACACAAGCTTCACTATTTCCTTTACTTTTAACAGAAATTATTGTTTGACAAAATTAAGCTATCGCAAAAAGTTTTTGATCAGCAATATTAGAGAGTATTGAAATTTTTATACTATCTATCTTAAGCCGGTTTACATTGCTTTAGTTTATGAAATAAATAGTACTCAAATCTTTTCTTTGATCAATTTTAAGGAAAATAAATCTAATTCAATTTTTTTTGTTTCTTCATGAACATATGTAAAGTTATAAAAAAATTTCTGAAATAGGTAGGAAAGTCGTGTGAGTTGACACACCAGATTTTTTAATTTATAATATATTATAACACATTTATACCATCGCCTATATATTTCTTTTATTTAACACAAAAAAGAAATCTGTGCAAAGTAAAGGCAATAATAATTAAGGTAAATTTTATTTGAATTATATCAAATTTGTTTTCTCAGCGCCTCGTGCCCAATTGTAATGAATGCCAGGACACGTTCAATACTTTTAGATGTAGTACTACTGAAAAATGTTTGGTTGAAATTGGTGACCCACTGTAAACTCCCCTTGTAAGTGAGAATGAGTATTAGTGAGAATGGTAAAAGTTAAATGAAGTTATGGCTAAAATAGTAATAAATGTCATCAACTTTGACCTCTGACAAAATGTTTTGGAAGAGGATCAAACAAAGCCCCAGGAATAAGAGCATAAACATCTCCATTTGATGTGAAGAATGACTTGCTATCTCAATGCTTAACTCCAGTTCATTATTTTAGTGTTTTCTTTTTTTAATATTATTAAATTAATTTAATTTAATAAATTTAAGAAAATTACATTATGAAAAAATTATAGCTAAATTAGTTTTTAAGATCATAATGATTAACTATTAACACAATATTGATTTATTTTTCTTGTGATTTTAATCCTTTTTTTGTGTGTGTATACATTTTTTTTTTAATTTTATTTTTTTTGTGTATATGTATTTGTGTTTAATTGTTTTTTTTTTTATGTGTACACTTGTTTATTTTTTTGTGTGTTTAATTGTGGCTCTAGAATAGCTAACTATTTAGATGAAACCTAGATAAAATCTACAACTTAAAGTTCCTTAAATTGCCTTTTAAATTTAAAGTATTGTAGATCTAAAAAACAAAGTTTTGAACAAAAATAAAATTATATTTAAATATAATTCAAAAATTAGAAATTTTGTGGAAAATCACGTACCTATTTGAAAGGTTGTTAAAATCTATATTTAATAAAAAAAAAAAAAAAAAAAAAAATACATTTGAAGTAGAACTGGTATTAGCAAAGATACAGTGTATTTTAATTTGTATCATGTTTTTAAAAGTATTTTGGGCAGCTTCTTGTGTTATTCCTATCTGTTCCACCATAGTTAGTTTTTGAAAACTATATATCTCCCACAACATTCCAGATGTATGTTTGAAAGATAATTAAATTACCCACAATGCTGAACAGCAAAAAAAAAAAAAATAAATAATATTAATGGGAACTGATAGTAATAAACAATTTTGTTTTATAAGACATTGCACCTCAAAGGGTCAGAAAAATCATGTGAGCGAACACATCAATTGTTCTAATTAAATTTAAAAAATCTTGTGTCTCAGCTGTAGATATTATCTTACTTATAAAGACTTATTAACTGCACCAGATTGTTATTCATTTAATATGTGGCTCAAGAATAAACTTTTTTTTATTTCTACTTTATTATCTCTTTTCATTTTGTTAGGTTGAGAAGAAGGAGCAAAATAGGGTGGCACGAAAAGCTGTTTATCGGAAGAAAAATATTCCAGTCTTTCAGAGAGAAAACATCTCAGTGACATTATTAAATGATCGTGTTATTGCTGACAAAATAAGAGGTACATAGTTTGCTTATTTAGTATAATTACCTACATTGTATCTTATGTTGATTTTTTATGTTGGATAACATAGGTAAATCTCATTTATTACTTTTTTATTTATATTTTTATTGCTAAACTTATTCATTGTTCTTTTAATTCAATTCAAGTAGAAACATTCTTTGTAAACAAATTGGTGACAATAATTGTATAGTGCAAAAATTAAAAAAATATTGGTAAAAAGTTGCCGTAAGTTGGATCATGGTAAGTGCATCAATTTGGAAAGTGACTGAATTGAAAAATAGTTTAAAACTCTAGGTTGGCATCAGGAAGGTAGCAAAAAAGACTACAACGCCTACCTTATAGAACTAGCTCTTCCCACCAGTACCAATAACACAAGTCTAGCCCAGAGAAAAATATATGCCTGCACAAAATAATATATTCTGTTAAGGAAAAACATCTCATACATGGTCAGCCCACGATAATAAGTCAACAACCATCTTAGCAAGTCTTAAAGATAAAGTATATATCAACAAGTAAAGTTCAAAAGCACCGGGATTCCACTTCAGAATTTAATGGGCTTGTCCTCGCACACCCAAAAGAAAAAGTCTAGTGTGCACAACACACAACTTTCACCTACTGCTCTATTCCGAAAAGCAATTCTTGTTTGGTTCTCGTAAGAGCTATTAATAGAAGGCAGTATATTGAGCAAAAAATTTACATATTTTATTTGTAATGAAAATTCTTATGTAAGAGTTTTGAGAGGTGCGGAAAATGAATATCATCATTATTTATCCCAAACAAATACATTTTGTAGTATAATATGTACTATACATTCTTTATTCTTATTTTCGGATCAAATCTCGACAATATACCAGATAAAAATATATACTTGTTATAGTAGTAGCTATAGTATGAGTACAGTATTGAAACACTTAGTACTCGAATCTCAGTTATTGAAACACTTAGTACTGACCTACATAGTAAAGTGGGTAAAGTAATGAGAAACAAAGTTGTGATTTGTATTTTGCAATTCGAGAAACCCTTAAATACAAATTACCATTACAATCGAAAACTAATAAAGGATCCATTTTGTTTTTTCGAAAATCACAAAAATTGTTATAACTTTGATATCGTTCTACTTATTCACAAAAAAATTAGTATGAATTTAGGGTCCTGTAATATACACAAAATGGCATGATTCTAATGCCCACAAATATGTTAGGCTTGAAGATAAAAAATAAAATCGTTTGGAGAGTTTTTCTTTATATATTCCTTATAAAGACATAAAATCCAAATGTTATTGAAATGTTTGTAAATATTTATTTATTAATTTATCTTCCTAATGGCTGTAGTAATGTTGACTTCAGTAAAAATCCTGATGATTTATGAATATCTTAGTGAACGGCATGAAAAAAGATTCTTCCCTAAAATTGATTAAAAAAATATATATTTTTTGATTTCAAAATAAACTCGTATTTAAGAGTTTAAGTAGATAAAAACTTTTAAACTAATCTGAATTGTTTTTTAAGTCAAAAATTTACTTGGGCCTATTTTATTGGAAGCATCTTTGGATTTTTTGTATTCTTTTTTACTTTCACTTACGTATATATGTAATATATAGTAAGGGTAAGTATTGCAATCGTGAAAATTTTCGAATCTCAGTTTTCAAAGGAAATACATGTCTTGAGGTCCCCTGAGTCCAAATAACCAAGTGTCGCAAAATGGTCTGTGTGTTAACAGTCTAGCTCATAAACGAAAAGTAGTACGCAACTGATATTAAGTATTTAAGGTTTGTATATGGGCCGGATGTGAGAGCAACTTTTTTGTTAAAATCGGCTAACCGGAAGTGCCACTTTATATGAACGCTGAAATACATTTTTACAATTTTCTCAAAAACGGCTCTAACGATTTTGATTAAACTCGGTGTATCATTGTATAATTAAGTGGTCTTTAATATCATTTAAGTCTTATCCCCGTTGATGTCACTTTACAGGGCTTAAATGCCCAATGTTCATATATGTCTTCCTCTAAAGTACCTTTAATATGGTTTATTTTAAAAAGTTAATCATTTCGCATTATTCAGAGTTATAAAAAAATGTTACATATAACTTTTGATAAGTTAATAAAAGAGAAACAAATAAAAATGCAGAAAAACCTGCGTTGCTTTAGACTCGACACCCTTTAAATTTATCTATATAACATACTTCAACGAAAAGAAGCTGGAAAAAGAGTTACGAGGGATGGTAAAATTAAATTTCCTAATAATTCAAAAAGTATAAGCTTTTTTGGGGATATCATATATAGTTTTTTAAAAGTTAATGGAATTTTCTAAAAAATCATTAAAATCGGACAATTAGGAGGAAAGATATGGCCTCTAGTTTTTTTCCCTGAAGAGGCGAAAATTCATATAAATTTAAAATATACTTTTTTTATTGTTAAGACTAAAAAAACCTTTTTTCTACAGATATTTAATAAAGTATCTTTCCTAAGAAAATCTTTCATAAGAAATAAGTACCTAAATTTATACCTTTATTCTCAGTTCTATATTTCAACGCTGCAATCACCACCTCTGGAATCAACTTACTCGTCTGCATAGATAACTTTTTCAACTAAAAATATCACTAAAATGACATCACTCAAAAATGTTGAAATTGGACAGTCATTCTGTGGTTTATAAAAGCAAAGAAAGTTGTGTGGTTTATAAAAGCAGATGGAGTGACTAGATTTTTATTGCCTACCCTCGATATATTAAATAGAAATTTTGTAATTATAATGGTCTTAATGACTTGTAATCTGTAAGCTTTAAGCTTTAGCTCTGTTTAAAATTCATATTATAATAGCTCAGCATTGCCAGAAAATAATTTATATTGAAAGTAGATCGGTAAGTGAAAGTTGTGTGTTGTGCGCACCAGATTTTTTCCATTTAACCAGACTGAGCTGCAGTAACTCATGGCCGAGTACAGCTTTTAATTAATAGTAGTTTAAATTCAAGTAATATTAGGCAAAGCATTGTAGTATTAGTCATTTTTTGAGTGATGTTGATCTTTCCCATTATATAGGTTTTAAATTTAATTAATGAAAACTTTTAAAATTAGAAAAAAATATTTTAAAAAAGGATATAATTTTTTTAAGAGCTTTATTTTAAAGGAATTAAATTTTTTTAAGGCATTTGAAACTGTAAACAAAATGAAAAATAAAGTGTGATGTTTCATTAGGTCCTAGAAGGCTGAGACCGCTAGACGAAATATGGAGAAGACTGGTTAGAGGTTATATTAAATGTTTATATTAGGTTAACTAACTCATCTATTAGAATAGTTTGGTTACAAAATTAAAATACTGAGAGATTTTTTCAATTGAGGATCAGTCAAGATTTTAATATATATATTAATATCTTAACTGACCACAATATTTTTCAAGATTCCGTTATAAAGCCGATTTAATTTAACCACCTTATTTTAGATTATAAAAACTAAATATAACGCGTAATACTTGGCACTATAATTATAAAGCACTATAAATATTGTAACTTTAAAAATCTAGCATAATGTGTAAGTTGTCCTCAAAGCTACTATAGAGTAATAGCCCAGCAAAATTAGCTCGTAAAAGGGGATCTATCTTGCAATAGGTTGGGTAACTCAATTTTTTTTTTTAGTAACTCAAATGATGTTTTTATTGCCTGAGTAGAAAACAAAAATAAAATTTCCATGATACCAAAACAAATGAATAACTAATTCTTCTTCATAGGCACGACAGACGCTCTATTCCAGTCCTGTCGGTCCAGCTAGTCTTAAAGACATGTTAAACTTTCAGAGATCTTGTGGGAGGTTGTCCTTCCATCTACTTCTTGAGCTCCCTCCGGCACACACTCCTTCCGGATAACCCTGGTATAACCCTTTGATGGACTCCCATCATCCATTCTATGGAGGTGACTCAACCACTTCAGACACTGTATTCTGACATAGTCCGACAACTTCATATCACCATATAAGGAATATAATTCTCTATTCTTTATAAGCTGATACACCTCATTTTCTCTCACAGGCCCTAAAATGTGCCTTAATATTTTACATTCAAAGATGTCGACCTTCAAAGCTAATGATTTTTTAAGTGGCCATGTCTCACATGCATATGTTGCGATTGGTCTAATTAGTGTCTTATATAGCCTTAACTTGGTTGAGCATCTTACCAATCTACTTCTCATGATATGAGCTGTATAATGGCGTTCATTCTATCAATAGCGATCTCTTCGATCAATAGCTGATAAAGGCCTGAACTTTGGGTCGAAACATCGGCAAATGTTAAAATAAATATTAATATTTATTTTTGCCATTTTTATTTTGACTGATCACCCTAACTCTCCTTCTCTTCATTATTAACTACAGTCAACCATCAAGCTACAATTATAAATGAATTATTAAATGTTTTAGTTTTGTCTCAAGATCCCCAGGGATGCCACCATATACTGCACAACAGCAATGAAAGTACGCAAACATTAAAGTGGAAAAAGCATATTGAGAAATACTGGATAGATGTTTTGTCATGAAAGAGTTTGATTACAGGTTTTTAATGGTTGGACAGAATTTTATGGGATAATTATTTATGAACAGAGTTGGGGTTTTAAGGAAATGATTAGAACGTATTATTATTGCCTTTGTCTTTTCTGCATTCAACTTTCAAGCTTTTGGCCAGTGATTGATTCAAGTTCTCTTGTAATTTTTTTTGAGGCTGCTGATAAATTTAAAGATGGAATGGACTGGTATATTTGAAATTAGTCAGCATAATGATGGTATCGGGAATGATAGATCCATAGATGAAGGTCATTAATATATATTTCAAAGAAAGTAAGGGGTTGGGATGAACCCTGACGAATACCAAAATCAAGGGAAAGTGTCTTGGGTAGAGGTTGACCTGGGAGAATTAAAAACTGACCAATCTGAGAGAAGGGATTTGAACCAATGCGCAAAGGAGATGTTGGATAAAAGAATCTTTTGCAGTTTTGTTAAGACTATTGTGGGACTAGGGCGATATGGGGCAGGGTGGCCGAGCGGGCTAACAAGTTTGTAAAACTCATGTTACCCGCCAACCAGATCAACCAAAGTTAATGATAAAATAATAAAAAGTTTGGGTCCTGGTGCTAGGGAGCTTTTAACTCTGCTTTTATTCTCTGGCCTGGTAAAAACCCCTGTATATCCTAAAAGGCGCGGAAGATGTAGAACAAGAAAAGAAAAAAAAAGGTTGGACTAGGATGATCTTCCAAGAAGCAGAGAATACTGAGTTTTGCAAAGAATAATTTTAAATATAATAAAGAGCAGGAATGAGAATGGGATACAGGATTTTAATAGTTTTACAAGAATATTGTCAAGACAAAAGTCATTGATGTGGGATTTTTGGATTACAGTGAAAAATTCATCATAGGACACATGAGAGAAAAATTTGTTTTATATAAACCCACATATATCTATGTATACAATATTGTCGGAGTTTGTATAATATTAAGCTCAAATTACATATGGAAGCCTGTTTTAATCTTTCCGCCAAGCTCGGATGCGCTTGTATTCCTTTAGTCCCTCTATTACAACTATTCTTTGTTAAGATCTCTTATAAAAAATCTTAAATAAAAGTGGCACTCTTGTCGAACTAAAAATATTTCATGACACTTAATTATTTATTATAATCTAATAAATAATTGAAATATACAGTTGTAAAAGGAAATAGCTAGTGTCGAGCAAAATGAATATATATTATATCATTTGACAGCTATGACAAACATATGCTAATTAATTGTTTTAAATAATATATCATACCATCTATAACTTTTACTTTCACTTCACTTTGTCTGAAAATACATATTTCTGTAAAGAAGAGAGTGGTGAGTAAATGTTGTGTGATGCGTGCACCACATCAGATTTTTAAGATATGATTGCCCTTAATATCATAGAATTACATCTGTCGTTTTTAAAAAGTAGAGAAAATGCCAATTTCCGTAACATAGCTTCAATTTAATCCAATTCTCTAATGATTTTTTTTTTTCATGATTCAACATTTGACATTCTTAAATAAAATCCTCAGAAACAGTTTTTGTTGAATCTATAAAACAAAAATTGACTTTTTCTCTGCTTTCTGAAAATGATAGATGTCTGCCTTTGGTATGAAACCACTCATATGATCCTATTACTCCATGTATATTAAAGTTGAATATTGGTTTGTTATAAGTAATTTTATTTTTAATTATAATTATTTTCAAAATGAGAGTTACCTTATATTCGAATAAATGTGGTAATTTAAGATTAAATTTATATATTTCATATTTCCCAGTTAGTCAGAGATTCCCTTTTTCTTTTGGAGTATAACTGCTAATGTTTACTTGTCTCTACCTTAAGTACACAGTCTAATCTCCTGTTTGTATTTCAGAATTATCCATAATAGTTACTGAATAATAGATAATGGAATGGTCGATACAAACAAGGAATTAAAACTGTGTAGTTCAGAATTCAGAAGCAGTGTGTATAGGGACTCCATGAGAAAAGGGAACCACTGACTAGCTCCGGTAAATATTAAAAACATATTTTTAGTTTTAAATTTTATCTTTAGAATAATAATAAATTAAATCAAAATACATAAAATTTCAAAACAATTTTAGAAGATGAAAAGATATATAGCAAGAATCGCATAAATAACAAATTTAAAGGAGAGTATATATTTTTTCATAGTGAGAATATATAATTTTTTTTTTTTTAAGCCTCTTGACTCTTTTGACTTCCGCCATTAGTCTTCTCGCAGCATTTGGGCTGTTCTTGGCGATAAGTCGTGATCGTTGGTCATGTAGATGATATCCAGAAAGCATGTGGTTTGGTTTATAACCGGACACGATCACAATCACTTCATCAGGATGGTTGGCAACCTTTTACATTCGTCTCTATCCTGTTGTTGTTTTTTACAGGATAGGGTTATTAGCCCTGTGCCCAACCCCCATAATCTGGAGAACCAAAGGAGCTATGCTATTAGAGATAGGGGTCACTCTCACCTTCCTCTGTATCTCAGAGTGGGAACGTTACTGTTCCCATACGGGAATTGAATCTGTGCTGTAATGGTCTAAGCAATCATATAGGGACTGCACTTATTTGTTAATTATTATTTATTTATATTTTTATTTATTTTTTTGATATTTAATCCAGCAAACAGGGTTTAAATTTGTAAAAGCGTACAATTTTTGCAGGCACTTATTGTTGCCTGCCTGTCAGTTTAGATTATAATCTTTTTTCCAGTCACTTTGCTTTGCAGTAGGTTTTGAGCACAATGGCAAATGCTGCTATCTTGGATTGATATACCAAAGCGTGTTAGTCTAGAGGTATTGAGTCTTTTTCTTTGGTATCTATCCTATAGATGCCTGCTCTTGAGCCGTAGGCTGTTAGAGAGCCATTTGTATGACAATTTATACCATTTTTTGGTTTAAGTTGTCTGCTGATGTCAATCTCGACCTCATATTTGCTGTCCAGATTCTCACGGGTTTGGAATATCAGAGTGCATGGATATCACTTTGTCATATCCAATCCTATTCAGCAGTTTTATATGTCCCCTTAACAAAGGATATAGGAAGAGCTCTTTAGCTTACTCAGCCTGTATAATGTATTAGTTGCCTGAGCCTCAACCTCCAACTGCAGTGGTGGGATGTTCAACATTATATCCATTAGCTGAGTGCTCTACAGGCTGCCTCTTCTCTTTGGGTGTATTTAACAGTTGAAGGGCTTTCACCTTTCTCCTGTTACGCCTCTTCACGTTCTTGCTCGTCCTCGACGTGGCAGGCCTCGAATCCTTGGATTTGTGGTCCCCACCTATCTTCTGGTTGAGTCTAGATTGTGAGGGGCTATTTTCTGTAATACCTATGTCAGGTTTGTCTGTCTCTTCCATGTCCATGGGTTCTATTGAGGTCTGTGCCATAGCACTGGCCAGCTCCATTATTTCCTCTGTCAGGGTCTTTAATAATTTCCCTACTAGAGATTCGTCTAGTGTATTAGAGGTAACCTTGTGATATGTTCATATGCTCCGATGAGGACAAGTCTTCCTCGGATACCATCGATTTAGTTTTATTCTTTTTTTCATTTAATTCAGACATTATATTCTCATTAGTATGGGAGTCTCACAGGACTCTAGGCACAACCCCCTCTCCCTACAGCCTGCATTAATTGCAATTTGGTATCGCCCGGATCCCCAAGGAGGTCGATAAGAAACATTATATTTTTACCCACCCTTTGCCATTCCGCCACAGTTCGAGCTCCTGAACCTAGCATGGGTGCCTAACAGATTTATCGCATCTATCTCACATATATATAGATAGAGGCAAAGAATCCTGCCCCGGTCATCAGATTCCCTGAGGGACGCCACATGGAGGTGACTGTAGGGATAAGGGGATCTGGAGATTCACAAACAGTGGGTAAGGCATTATCGCTCGATCGCTCTGCAAAGAGTTGGGGAGATTACCACACCCATCTCCCTCTCTAGACTTCCCATTTGCCCCCTTATTAATAGGTTATATGAATACTTATTATTACAGGAAAAAAGTTTATAATTATTTTTTGTCATATTAAAATTTTTAAGAATCAATATTTGAAGATCTGGCTATCGTTTCAATGATTTATAAGTATTAAGAAAATGAAATAAGAAAGAAAAAAAGTTTGAATATATGTACTTATAAATATTGTGAGATTTATCTTAATGGACCTCTATCTTTGGGGGGTTTTCTTAACATTAAATTTTATTAAGGTACCAGCCTTTATATACAAACAGTCTAGTGGTAAAGTCAAAAGTAAATGAAAATTTGGATTTACCTCAGAATCACATATACGGCAGCAATGTTTGTTCTGCTTTAACTCATAACATCTATTAGCTATTAATTTAAAGTATTCTTTCATTGTTAGCTACTTGTGATTGTGTTTAAAAGAAAAGTCTGTTCAAAATGAGTTCTTCTTTTTCTGATTGCACCAAGGAAGAAATTCAAGCCGGGATGTTTCCTAAATTTAGAAGGTGTGACACCGGTAGGAATCGCAGCAATATATGGGTAGAGTTGTTTTAGGGAAAACAAGATTTACAAATGAATTGATCGCTTTTTCAATAATAGAACTTCTCTGTGTGATGGACAAGCCATTAAAGCGCTGCAAAATTTTCTGAACACCAGGCCAAAAACCATCTTCCAGGAATGAATTCAAATGCTCATTAGAAGATGGACTAATTGCATAGAAGTAGGAGGATTATTTTGAAAAGTAATGATTGTTTCATTTATGTGTATGCCATAAATATATAGACCTTTTTCAATTTATCATTACTTTTTGATTTATTCCCATACGTATGCACATATTTAATTGGTATTACAAATTATAAAACAAAAATACAAATCAATTAATATACAATACAAATATTTTTTGACAATTTTATTAAATTTGCTGTTTCTTATTTATCTATCATTATTATTATTATGTTTAACTAGAAGAAGATGGGGATTCTCTCATGTTTGAAAATAACATTAGAAAACATGAAAATCAATTGAATGATGGGCCAGAAGTCGAGAGATTTACCATATCCTTACTCTCTGATGACAATGATAGCCTCATTGCTTCAGATATTGGTAAGTTCGATTTAGTTTTTGTTATTTTATTATTATTACATAGTGGTATTAAATAAAACATATACATATTATGTCTTAAATAAAGTTTTATTACAATTGTTCTTAAATCTTAGAACTTGATATATTAAAGAGGAGACTTTAGAAGTATTTTCAACATTACTGCTAAATTGACACCAACCTTTCCTGGTGTCAATTTAGTGTGTTTCTGGTGTCTATTCCATGGAATGGTATAAATTTAACTTCTTTGATGGGCGAAAAAAACATAGTAATTAATTGTTTTAAATGAAGTTATACCACTGTTTTCACTTTGTCTTCCTATAAGGAAATACCTATCTACTCTAAGGTTGGTTTAGTAAAAGTTGTGTGATGCGTGCACTGCACCAGATTTTTTTTTATTCTTCCCATTAGTCCAATCTACCATTTGCCAATGCAGAATAAGTTCCAATCATCTAGCTTTGTTTTTAGGCTCTGTTATATATAGGCTTCCTGGTGGCTTTTTGTAATTGAATCATTTCATTGAATTGCTATTTAACGTTTTTCTTCAGTTCGGCCCTAATAGGGCAGGCTTCCTCCCAGGCTGTTACTCAAGTGGCTTTGAAGAGACTAGCCTCTTCATTTATCTGGGTTCTAATAGAAAGCTAATCTAAACTAGTGGAGACAAAAAAACAAATTGTCAGAAATGTCCTCATAAATTCTTTTTTATTCATTTTTTAACACCATTATATATATCATTATATTTGTGTATAATAGCGAAAATAACTTGGTTGGATCGCTTGCCCCAGCCCTATAATAATTCTGCTGGGCCAAGGAAACTTGGTAGACCACCTCACCACAATCCAATGGTATCAGCACAATCCAAAAGGTACTCAGTCAAGTAGCCATTTCATCATCTCTTCATAAGGACAAGAGGAACCAGCTTGGCTTAACCTGATAGGATATCCAGAATTTTTAGAACGACAAGAGTTTCTTATTATCTCCCAGCCTTTATAGAGTGGAAACTCTTCATTTAATATTTAATTAACTGGTGGTTGTGTGTGGTCCCAGCCTCATCATAATAAAAAATCCCAATCAAGCTTTAAAAATGCTTCTTCTAAAGCATTATATTTGTTATTTAAAGGATTTTTTTTTTTTTTTTTTTTACTCAAATCATTTTGTAGTCAATTTTCTTTCATGCATAATAAATAAATTTAATTATAAATTATACATTTTGGATATTTGTGTCCCCAGACATATTAGTCAGAGAAAACTATTATTAAATAGGAAAAAGTCAGTGAATTTTATTCCAACTGTCTGATAGCCACCCTGTTGTTTGTTTTTTCATGATAATAAATCAAAATATTTTTACAAATTACAATAGGCTATATATTAATTGTAAAAAGTCATCAAGTGACATTTCATAACCTTAAATAGTGAAAAATTTTAAAGAACTTTCTCTTTATAAAATCAGACAATTGTTTGTGGGCTTGTTGCAGCTATGTTTTATAGTATAAAAGAGTTTGTGTCATTTTCATACACTTACAGTGTTTTTCTGTTGATAAATAAAGTTGAAATTCACAAAAACATATTTGAAAGTTAACCTATATCAAAAATCCTCATAGTGACTTTTTGCAATAAACCAATGATATCTTTACTAATGGTCCACCTTTGATGATTTTTTTCTTTAGTATTATTGGGAATACATTAAACTATCAAATAATCATTGGTGCATACAACCATAAAATGTAAATATAGTTTATTTTCCTTTATAACTTTTTCTGCAATTTCGGATGGTTGTGATTATTTTTCTAAGAAGAAAATCTTCTAAATGATAGCTCAATCGGTGGATTTATTAAGAATTAAAATAGATATGGTCTGCCAACAAAAAATATCTTTTAGAAACAATATATAAAGATTAAAAAAATAAATAATATTATTTATCATTTGAGACTAGATTATCATGAAAAGTAAAAAGCTAATTTTGTACTTAAACAGCTAAATTTGTACTTATATATTTTATAAATAAGTAATAAATTATGAGAATCATGTACAAACAGAAATCATGGAAGCTCTAAAAGAAACTAGATAACTTTTACACATTTTGGGTTTTTACTGAATATTTTCGCACATTTCACGTTTTTTACTCCATGAAAATCCACTCTGTACTTATAACTTTGAAGGAAATTGAGCTGCTCAACAGACTATTTAATTGACAGATTAAAAAGTCTAGTATGCCCACTTCCTTTAATCTTCATTAGACCAAAATAAGCAGTTGGCTGATAAAAACTTTAGTGTGGGTGCACACTCCCAGATATATAAATAAGATGTTATTTTAGTAAATTGTTGGATACTGTTCTATCTCTAATTACTTCATAGTGTGATATCTAGTGTATTTATTTTTACATTTCTGAAATATGTTACCTATTATGTTTTGCTAGAAGATGCATGTGAGCAGAAAGTATCTACGGAAGAAAACTACAGTGAAGCTGAACAGAATGTGGAACCTATCAACGAACCAATGGATATCAGTTCCACTATGTAAGTGTTCATTATAAATTCTCTATACATATATAACCATTAGGATCTATGATATTAGAAGGTATTATAAAAAAAAAGACTTAGTATTTACTGTATGTGCCGCGATTAATTTTAAATATCAAAAAGACATTTGATAGAAAAACTTATAAAATTTGAAATGTTTTTCACATATTTGAGAAATAAGAATGAAACCAAATAATATTCTACTTATGTACTTATTTAAATTTATTTATTTTATTTTTATTGATATTTTTTTAGGATTGTTGAAGAGAACACAGATGAATCTGATGTAAGAGATTTTCATGGGCAAAGATTTGATCGTAGACGCCTCGGCCCTAGAGTAGTTCCAGATGCTGATACTGTTTTAAGTTGTAAGTCTAGTAAATAATTTGATTACGATGTCATTTATCAAAATTATTGATGTGCTGGGTAACAGATTTTATGGGGTATTAACAAGCTATGGACTTCTCTGAGTAACAGGTAGTTATGTAGTTAGAACATTGCTGAGTAATAAGGTCATTCAAACATTCATTACACAAAAATTCTGTAATGTAAGCTTTAGGATGATGTTGATGTTCTTTATTATTCAATAAAATATTTAACAATAAAACATAATGCAGGTTAGTGTAATTAAATTATAAAAATATCCAAATGTATTAATTTTTTATTTAAAATTTATAGTTTATTTGGTAGTATTAGACTGTTTTATATTTTTTTAAATGTTCAATTAGTATGCCATTCCATATTCTCTTATTTAATATATATTTTATTTACATATTAAAATTTGTGCTTTCAATATCTAGCACCATATTCATCTCTTATTTTTCTATTTTAAAAATTGATAATTTAAACATATTTCGTTGCCTGGTTTCATTATATTATATCTTACGGAACTGCAACACCTCTTCACCAGACACCATTTTGAAATCCTCCTTAGGGGATTATGGTACAGATAAATGAATATTCACATTTGAACAAAAATAAAAATCCACTCTTCTTCCTCTTTTGTGTGCAATTTCTATCTGTTAATCCTTGGGTTTTTTTTTTTTTTTATATTTGGAAAAACTTACACCAAAAAAAAGTGCTAAGTATAGTCAGTACAGCTTCTTATTTGGATTTTTTTTTCCTGCCTGTTGGCATTTTAAAGAGGTCTATATTATCATAATTATTTATGCCAATTTCCATTATTTCTAATAATAATTAGTTGATTTTACCCACTATTGTGTGTTGAACTTTAAAAATTAAAATTCAAGCTAAAATTTGATTTTCAAACTCCGTTGTCATTGTTACGGTGATATAAGGTGACCGCTGGTACCATGCAGTGCCACAATAAATGGCTAAGAGTATGAGAACATTAATTTGTTGACAATTCAAGTGGAAAGCAAATGGATATTTACGAGTTTTTTGTTCCTAATTAAATAGACAAATTTTGCTGACATCAGATTGAAAACGCTCGAATTCTGAGAATTTTCGTAAATAAAATATTTGTAGATTACGATGGCATGAAGCTATTTGTGAAGTTTTAGGCGGATGTTAATAATTTGATACAAAGTCTGTACCATGAACTATAACATCATTTGTTTTCTTGTCAAATTCTTTATAGAGTACTTTTTGTGTGTATCCGAATAGTGATTGTTCTATCATAACCGTAGTAGGAATCACCTACCACCTTTCATCCGATTTTCATGACGTTTTCATGGATTGTGCGGGTTGGTATCTAGATGGTTCCATACCGATTTTATCGAGTTCCATCTATCTCTTCCGCTTGCACACACGTATATATTCACATATATATATATATATATATTCTTAGATATGCCAATATTTCAGAAACGGCTCATTCGATATGGCTCAAATTTGGATAAAAGGTAGGTATTGTTGAAAAAATCATGTAGTGTCAATTTTATTGAATTCCATTACTTTCTCTTATATATGTGCAAACGTGCTTTCCTTGTCATGCCTATATCTCTAAAACTGCCCAGTCGATTTGGCTCAAATTTGGAGAGAAGTTAGGGATTGGTAAACAGATAATCAAGTATGTATGAATTTTATCAAATTCTATCCACTACTCCAAAAAAAAGTACTTCTGTTTTCAGTTCAGGACACCCACGTTATAAAAATATGTTTAGTTATAAAGATGGAATGTGCCACTTCTGATCATTCAATGTCACTTCGGTGTATTTACCATGTTTTGAGCACCACTGACCTGGTATGTTTGATAACATGCTGATGAGACTTCCTTAGGTTTACTTGTCTCATGAGTAAATTGGTCTATAAATTTCCTGATAAGAAGTAGACTCCAAGTTACTCATCCAAAAAGAATTCCCTGATTTGCTAAGTGAAGTTTTATAGTTTACTATTTGACTGAATAATTACTGACAAAAATGCTAGGTCAATCAGAATGAGAAGTTAATATTTCTGTCTCTCATAAAGCACTGCTTTTAAAGCTGAAAAGTGTTTCTGTCTTGAAAAAGAGAATGGCTTTGTTATTTCAATTTAGATCTTTAAGATCTGCAATTCTAAAAGGTTCTCTTGTTAATGATCAGGGAAAACACACAGTACTTTCTATGAGAATACATTGTTATTGAAATAATATCCAAGTATCAGAACTCTTTTCTTCTCTTAAAGTATTTTCCAATTAAGCTTCCCTCTCTTCATAAAAAAATTCAATCACTATATTTTTCTAGTTGAGCAAATAAGAAGAAAGCCAAATGAAGATCTGAAACAATCTTTGCCGAACAAAATAACAATTTGCCGAAATTGTTCTCATGTTATGGTATCAAGAGGAGGTATGTTAGCTGTTTTCAAGTTTCAGTTAAAATACCTTCTGTTCTTCAAATAGCCCTAATTGAATTTCTCTTAGCTACCAAATTCACTGCTAAAGTTCTTAATCAGTTGTTAATTGTATTTAACAAAATGTTTTAAAAATCTCAAAAACTAAAAACAACTTACAATATCGTGAAAGAAACTCCATATATTGCAACAAATTTTGGAAAAAGAAATCCATTCTATGGATCTAGTTTCTGTCTGTGTTTCTAGATTTCATTTCTATCTGGCCCTTCATTTCAATCAGTGAGTTGTTGTTTAAAGATATGTGTATATGTGTGTGTATATATATATATATATATATATATATATATATATATATTATATATACAACTATATAATTTATATATATAATTTATTGCGTATAATTTATATATATAATTTATTGCATTCTTGGTCAGCTCCAATGTAGCAACTTCATCTAGAGTAATGTAAATAATTATAAGTTTTTATTAGTAAATTTAATTAAAGTTGTTAATATAAATTTCAGTATTTATAGTGTTGATTTAAATTAAAATACAGTCAATACACCTAAATAAAAACACTGGATAATTCTTACTTGTGCTTTAGTGGAACATTCTATGTGAAATGGAATTAAATGAAAAAAAACAACATTCGTTTTCACTGTTCTATCGGAACAGTATTTTTTGTGCTAGAAGGATAATTAGAAATGTATTAATCATACTTTCACCTCCCTATTTGTAATCTGAACTTTTAAGAATCAAGACATTAGTTCAAAAGATCAATCTATTGTGAAATTAAAAATTTAAGAACATTAAATCATTCATGTCTTTTTAATAATTGTTGGTAATTTCAAAGTTTTTAAAATCAACAATTATCATCATCATGGTGGAGAAATAGTTGACTGTAGATAATAGTGTTAGTTTGGATTTGCTGTCCCAGTGAAAATTCTTTTTAAAGTAATTAAAATTATTGATACAGTTAAAAAAGATATTTATGTATCTTTTCAAAAGTAAGATTGAAAAATATACAAAGAGAAGGAGAAAAACTCAATCAAAAAAATTTTCAGGAAGAAATTTGTTTGCCTGCCCTATCGTAGATCACTGTTCCTCTCTGTTTTCTGCCGCTACCTTTCAGTTCCGGACCCAAACAGGGACCTTGAGTCGGTTGCAACTCCATTCTCCCAGTGAAGCTTAGGATGTCCAACTCTCCTTGTACAATTATACATGCTCCAAAAAAGCTTTATTTGGTATTTAATTTGGTTCCATCCTTGGTATATGGCTTGCCCAACGAAGTCTTGGTAACTTAATTAAGGTGCATACTTCAATATCTCCATATACTGGTCTTAATTTGATTGATTATTTCTCCTTCTCCATGTGTCTTGTTTATAAATGCCACCATGATTGATTATTCCTCCTTCTCCATGTGTCTTGTTTATAAATGCCACCATGATTGACTATTCCTCCTTCTCCATGTGTCTTGTTTATAAATGCCACCATATATTCTTCTTAACACCTTTCTCTTGAATCTGAGCAATACTTATTTCTCTGATTTAGTCACTGTCCAAGATTCTGAGCCATATGTAAGGACCAGTCGGATAAGTGTCTTATAAATTTTTGCTTTTGTATTCCTACATAATGCATTATTTCTTGACTGCTTCTGTGGTTCGCCAGAAGTATTCACCTTACTTCTTCCTCTATTATTTTGACAGTTTACTTGGGTTCCTAGATAGATAAATGGTATGTAGTAAAAAAAGAGAGAAGTTTATCACTCCATTGACAAGGATGGAATATATATTCACAGGAATAGGTTGTGGTAACACAGTTAATTCTACCATTTTTTGGGGGGGATGAGGTGGCCTAGCAAGTTAACGCGTCTGCCTGGCAACCTAATAACCGAAGATTAGATGAAAAAATTATTATGAGTTCGCTTCCCGGTGCCGAAAGCGAAGCCAAGTTAAAGCCAGAGCTTTTAACTCTGCCATTAATCTCCCGCCGGTACCCCCTGGCCCACGAAAAAACCCGTGTAGCCTATAAGGGGAGAACTTCTTCTTCTTTTGCATCACCCTATAGTGCCTTTCAGCGTAGGGGAGCGTCTAACCAGGATTGCCAATTTTCCCTGATTCTTGCAAGATTTCTGACTTGGCCTATATTCTTATTTCCGTTTTTGCACAGGTAGTCTACGTATTCGAGGTACGACATTCTCGGTCTGCCGAGTGTCCAATTTCTGTGCTCATAAGTCAGTCTTCTGCCATCGGGGACATAGTCCATAGACTTTAATGGATCTCTGTGTTCTTCCATCCTGATGACATGCCCAAACCACTTAAGCTGCCGAGTCTTTAGGACATCCTTCATCGGGGAAACCCCCAATTCCTCCCTGATTCTCGTTGCGAATGCAGTCCTGTCTCGTTTTCCCTGCGATCCTTCGGAGAAACCTCATTTCTGCAGCAGTGATTTTTCTCTCAAGTTTGTCAGTCAGCACCCAGCTTTCTGCACCATACAGGAGTATAGGCAAGTATACTGCCTTAAATATGTGCAGTTTTACACCTCTGCTCACTTCTCTTTTTCCGATCATAGTGTTGCAGATCTGGTAATATATAGCGTTTGCTTATCCTGTGCAGAATTTCTGAATCCACTTTCCCAGACCGAACCATAACAGAACCAAGGTAGGTGAAATCTGACAAAACTTCCATCACCTCTCTGTTGCAATACACTGTAACATCTTCCTGCACCCTTCCAACCTGTAGGATCTTGCTCTTTCCTGTACTGATGACCATACCCTTCCTGAGGAGCTCCTCGTTCCATTCGTCAACTGCCTGCTGTAATTTCTCCACAGAATCAGCAATCAGGACAATATCTCCACATATAGGAGAAACTGAAATACAACTGGAAGCAGATTCCTTTGCCCCAGAAACGTTCTTTCTGTTCGCCTTTTGCAGATTGCAGCAATTTCATCCACATATAATATAAATAACAATGGGCTTAAACTATCACCTTGTTTGACCCCCCTAGCTATGCTAAAATAGCCAGATTCCTGTCCATTCAGTCTGACTATTCCTTTTGAATTTTGGTATATGGATTTAATGGCCCCAACTCAATAAGGGGAGAACAAAAAATATAAATAAAAGGATGAATGATTGCACTTTTTCAAATTTATACTTACCCAACACGACATATCTCTCATAATTTTCACGTTTAGGTAGATTAAATTTATATTTTGTGTTTTCTTCATTTATGAATCCTAATTGTGCTGCTGCATGTTCTAGTGCCTCGAAAAATATTCTTACAGCGTCAAGAGATCTTGCAGTTAGGTCCAAGTCATATCGGTATCCAAAAACCTGCACTGTCTTATTTATTAGGTTTCCAGATGTCTGATAGCTTTCTCCAGAGAGAGGTTATGTACTAGGCAAGCAAGGCTATCCCCTTATCTGACTCCTGTCTCAATGGAAAAATCTCTGCAGAGTTTTCCATTCATCTTTATAAAGCATATATTGCCCTCTATCGACAACAAAAAATATGTATGCTTTCATATTGAATAAATGACATGATCAATAAAATGTTTTAGAAATAAGCAAGTAATAACTACAAAAAAGATTAAATAATGTGTTTCCTAGCAAATTAACTGTTTATTCCGTCCAAATCCAAGGCTGGCAATGTTTCTCTGCCTTGGTTTTGATTTACCTCATTACAGGTCATTGGCCCAGTATGAAGGATCCTATGCGGCACAAGGAGGAAGTGAAAGAACAAGAAGTTTCCTAACAAAGTAATCTGAAAATAATTGCTAATGCAATATTTTCCTACATTAAAAAAAATTCTTGTTCAGAAGTGAAACAGTAAAGGTGTGGGAATAGATTATCATACCCCATTTCCTCTCAAATTGGTCTGCTATATTCATATCAATTGATATGTAGTGCATGAATGTTTTGGACAAATGCATTTCATGAAATATGTTTTGTTTTTTATGTATTTCCATAAAAGATTTGCCAGAGACTTGATTAATTGAACAGCTTCCTTCCCCTCTCCCATCCTGTAAATTTGTTGTTTTTTTTCGCTTACTTTGGCCTAAAACGTGTGGTGTGAAATATATGAATGGCTTCTTGAAATTTAAGACAATTCTCTACCCAACAAGGTTTACAGCAACTTTTATATATGAAAGAAATATGTAGATTTTATACATTAATAATACAGGGTTGTTACTGACCAGAAAACTTCAGGATTACCGGAAAAAGCCAGAGAATTTCTAAGGAGTATGGAAAACTGAGAAAATGGTTAAAACAACCAGGAAATTTGACTAACTTTTCTCACTAATGTTGTTTATAAACTAGAATGAATTTAATCGTTAAACAGCCATGTGTTTGAATGATTTGCCTATTTTTCAAGGTTGTCTGAAAAAGTTTTTTTATTCTAGGATTTTGATTAAATTGGTTAATGAAAATTAAGTAAAATAATCATTTAAATATTATGTTGTATGTATATTTTATAATGGATTCCATACTCATTGTATTTCGTTTTATCGTTTCATTCTATTGATTTTCAAGAACTTGTCAAACACCAAATAAATCAAAGGAGATAAATCTTTATATATTAAAAATAATATTTGATATATAGATTCTTCAAAAGTATTTTTAATACCGTATGTTTGTTCTATTGAGCAATTTTGAATGATATCTATATGTGCACTAAAATTCTTATTTAAAATATTTTCAATTTCTCCATAGGCCTTGCTCCAGTTGATGATTACATAACAAAAACAATTGTGAACGAAAATGTGTATGTATCTGCTGATAGTAAAACTGACGAAAATGGGAAAGTGATCAAGTGTAAATTTTGGCCCTCTTGTGAAGCAGGAAACGATTGTAGGTTTTATCACCCTAAAGAATATTGTAGGTGAGTATCATATATTTTCAGTTTACCATTTATATCATCCTGGTTAAGGAAAAAACAAAATTATTCTACTTAGGTACACTCAAGCCCAAGTAGTTAAAAAAGTAAGACCTAGTAGGGGTCTGTTGGCAAGTAAATTCGTAGTATGTCTCAATCGGTTAATACCAATTTTTGATCTTCATCTTCACTATAAGGGTGTTAAATATATATTGATGATTATTATTAGTCCATTATTTTTTATTATCATTAAAAATATATTATATTCCTTTACTATTTATTGAAAAAAAAATTTTTTTTAATAGTTTATAAAATTTATTTTGTATTTTATAGTCTATGGTAAGTTCTATATTACTTTATATCAATTAAAAAAAAAACAACTATATTTATTGGAAAAACAATCATTAAACTGTCAAAACATGTTGGTATATTTAGTGATAAGGATTTTTCATTTTTATAATGATAATAAGATCATTTTTTTACAATTAAATATAATTTTGCAATTATTGAATCACATTAATTATTAATATTAGACTTTTTATTGAATTAGTAATGTTAGTTTGAATGTCTTGTTAAAGTTATCAGTTTTACTCTTCTTTTGTGCCATTGATTTTTTTTTCAAATATTCTATTTTTCGAATAATTATTCTGTTCATGCTCAACACATGTTTTACATTTATTTGTACATTTTTAAGTTGACTTTCCTTTTTTTTTGCTTCCTCACTACCGAAGGTAGGGAAGCATTGCACTCATGTGAGAGGTTAAAAAAATTTTATATTCCAAATCAAAAATTTCCACTCCCGTTTTCCCTCAAATCAATCAAGTCAAAAGGTGTCTTTTGTCTAATCAATGTGACGAGCATATTACATAGTACCGTTTTTCGATTTTTATGAAATTTTTTCAGGGATTATGCAGATTGGTCTCTAGATGGTACCAATTTTATCAAATTCTATTCAGCACTTTCGCTTACGCACACACACTTATTTTTTTAGATTTGCCAATATTTTAGAAATAGCTCGTTCGATTTGGCTCAAAGTTGGATAAAAGCTAGAGATCAGTGAAACAATAACGTAGTGTCAATTTTATTAAATTCTGTTCACTACTTTTGTTTATATACACGCAAACGCGTTTTCCTTGATACAACTATATCTGTAAAACCTTATTCTATTTGAGCTAAAGGTGACATTTTGGAGTCTCCAACTGATATAAGCAGTCTGCTATGGTGAAAAGAAGCAGAGGACAATAAAATATGAAATTATACTAATTAATCATAAAGAAATAATTTTTTTAGTAATCATGAATTATCAAGTATGCAATCTGCAAATGCGGAACTCTTTCGCATTTTAGTATTCGCTGATGAACAAAACTCGTGGATATCAAACCCTGTATATGTTGAAGGATTACTGAATTTCTGAAAACGGCTACTCCTAGAGATTTAATTCTCATATGAAAAAATTTAGACCTTGTAACATAGATATGTTTTTGTCAATGAAAACGGTGAGGAAGCTATACTGACCTTATTTGGTAGACTTTTTTTTTTTTTAATTAATCTGATTTTTTTATTTCTTTAAGATTTTAGACAAAATCTTATTTTTCCATTAAGTTCAACTTGGAAAAATATATTTTTAAATTTGAACTGCCATATTGCTTTCTTTAACCCAATCAGATGTTATATTCTTCTATATTGCTCTCATAGTAATAATATTTGTTTAAGCTTCTTTTTAAATAAATAAAATCTGATAAAGATAAAAGCTAATATTTTTGTTTTTTTTTTGCTCTAGAACTCTTCCTAATTGTAAATTTGGCCAAAAATGCTTGTATTACCATCCACCCTGCAAGTTCGCAGATAAATGTTTAAATGTAACCTGTCCTTACACTCACACTCCCGTTGCTGCCCCTACCATCAAAGGTGAGTGATTTTAAATGATATCATCTCTATATGTTTATGCTATTATTATTATTTGATTTTCTAAATCTGTATATTGTCTGTTTCAATGTTAAATCACGTAAATGACATCTCAACTTTTCATTAGATACAAATTGTGAAGAGCTATATGTAGCAAGTTTCTTTTTGCAGTTCTTTATTGTTCCTTCTTCTGCGGTTGTTAATGTTCTGATCCCAGATAGCTTCGGTTATTCTATTCATGACTTTTCTTTGGTATCTTTCAATTCCATTTTTGAGAGTGCCTATTTGAGCTCAAGTTTCACTGCCATATAACAGAACTGACTTTTCACAGCATTGTTTTTGTGCATTGATTTTTCGGGATTTTATTACCCTTGAGAAAAATAAAGCTTGTTTGTGCTGGTCTATCTCTGTTAGTTGATAATTTATTGAGGTTATCGTGGAACCAAGGTATTTGAATCTTTTACCTTCAGGAATGATATAGAAGCCATGCTGATCCCGTTCTTAGGGTGAAATTATCAGCTTATCATACATTCTTCATTTAAAGAAGTTAAGGAAAAAACAGTAAAACTCCATTGTTTTTTTCATTTGTGTTGCCACTTTGTAGTCCATACATAGTTCTGTTGTTTATATTAAGGTGTATTATAAATATTATAAAATTTAAATTGCCTTTAGACCAAATGGTTTTGCAACTCTTTGTCAGTTGAATACATCACTTAAGCTATTTAAAAGGTCTGAATCAGTTTTTGTCTAAACATGAATTGTGGCAGCTTCATTAAAAATTACAGGTCATAATAACTTCAAATGTGTGGATCATATCCCAAAAGGAGAGTATGATGTTTGAAGAATTGTTAACTTTCATAAAAAAAAAAAATTAATTTTTTTTTTTTTTACTTTAATTAAACTTTTTATAAAGAAAACAAATGTATGGTATTTTAATATATCTAGGTCTAATTTTAATCTTTTGAAAGACATTAAATTATTCTTTCTGCAAATTTTTTTTATTATCCTGTAAAAAATTGAAAGAAGGGGTTTTAACTACTGTTTTTCTCCTGACCCCTTCATTTACTTGTAGGCCTATTTACTCTGTTTTTCTTATCAGAGTCCGAGCAAAATTCTCAATATCTTTTTGATTGTTTCCAAGGATGGCTATCCACTAATGCTAGGATTTAATGTTTTATTCCGAAATGTAACACTCTATGGAAGTGTAAGGTTGTTCTTATCATCTTCTCCAGGGCTAAGTTGAACAACATCGGCACGAGTCCATCTCCTTGCCTCAAACTTCAAAAGCTTCTGATACTACTTTTTCTTGTATCAGTACTTAACATTTAGGATTATTTGTACACCAAATAAGGTGTTTATACCCTGAACTACTACTTCCTATTGTTTCTTGAGTACCTGTTTTAGAATGAAATGTTGTCTTTCTTGCTCCTTCCTCTTCTGAATCCTACGTGATGGTCGCCTATTATTTTCAAATACTATGAATATATCTGATTTAGCAGGATAATAGTCGTTTTCTTAAAGCCAACCATAAGACGAGCTATACAATTACCATACTAGTACATACAAAATTAATTCTTAAAAATAGCATAGATTAGGTCTGTGTTCCAGGTCTCTAATAATCGTTCCTGCTCCCATATTTTCTGGATTAGTTCTAAAAGTTGTTGTTGCAGGTGTTGTTCCTAATCTTTAAACAGTTCAGAAGGTAGCCTATTCATTCCTGAGATTCTTGTTTTGCCCTAACAGCTCTTTCCACATCCATAATATTGACCCCTTATGGATTGAGGTCCTTAGCATGGTCCATGCTTTCTGGATTCGTGAGAATTCCTTTATTGAGAAGCTGCTCCAAATGTTCTTTGCAAATGCTTAGTATCTTATCTTTTGATGTCACCAGTTTACCATATTTTCCTCTAATTCCCAGGTTTCTCACTTTATATCGTACCCTTTTTTCCTGATTTTGACAAATAATTTGCATTTATTTCCAGCCTGCCAGTTGTCCTCAATGGTGGTTTGCAGTCTTTCCTTGAGATATATATATTTTTTTTCCCTGACTGCTGTTTATTTGTCCAGAGTAGCTTGGTCAGTTTTATATTTTTAGTTCTTTTGTCTTCCCTACCTTGCCTTTTCAGGCTATACCGAGCTTTTCCTGGGCCAGAGGATGAGGGCAGGGAGTTTAAAAGACCCCTACGCACCGGGAACTCTTAATTTTATCGTCTCCAATTTTGGTTATCAGGTTGCCTGGCAATGGGCTGTGCACACCCGTTAGCCCGTTCGGCGACCCCTTCCCCACAGCTTGTTCAGATTTGGCTTCTTAGGTGATGGATTAAGTATTAATGTCTCATATACACCAGCCTGTGGTCAATCTTGTATTTTGTGTCTTTGCGGCTTACCCTGATATAATGGTGGATGTCATACTTATTATTAATATCATATGAATATATTTTATAGACAATGGTTTTATATTGATATTTTTATATAACTGGTCATACTGTGAAAATTTGTTTTTATTAGCACATGCATTTTGGTTGTTATTCTCAATTCTCAACCGTCAGCTCTTTCATGTAAACTAGCATGTGTGAATACCTAAAATAATTATAAATTATAAATAAATTTTAAAATTTAATATTGTTATTATTATTAATCAACTTTGTTGTTTACTTTCAGCCAAAATATGGGCTAAAGTTCCTTTGGCACCTTCAAATGGTCAAATTTGCATGTATTACCCTAACTGTAAGAAGCCATTTTGCCCTTATCAGCATAGCTATTCAGCAGCAACCAGCATTGTAAGTATAATTTGTTTTTGTTTATTTTCAATAGTTATTAACTATATTGTTGTTTTTTACATTTTATTTTTCTTGCTTGTTTGGTTCTTTTTTTTTCTTTTCTTTTTTTTCTTATTTTATCTGTGATTGCCAATATTAAATAATGTTCTCTATATGATATAACTTGTAAGTCAGGTAAAATTATTTATTTAATTTCGTTATTGACATGGATTTGTTTATTCCTTTTCTAATAAAATTATTTAATTGCCCTTAAAATGATTTTGAATATATCTGTTTCTCCCACTTCTACTTTGTAAAAAATGGCCTGCATAAAGTCTAAAATTCCATTTTCATTTGTTCTGTTTATATTCCCAATTTTTCATCTTATATTATCTGTTACTTTTTCCTGAATAAAGCTGTAATAATGTTGACTTTAATGTAAAAAACTGAGAAATGTATGAGAATTTTCTTGATAGTTTCTTGAAGAATTTGTTTATACTACGCAACCGGTAAATACTTTTTGGGTATAATTTAATAAGATCGTCATTGACGTAAGAAAAGTTCTAAATCTTTATGGAAACTCTTTCGCGTAATTATTGATAGATTGTCTCTGTGGATGTTTATCCATGATACCTAGTAAAAACGAACATAAATATGCTTGAAGCTCTTAGGGGCATAATAAGAGGAAAAAATGAAATGACTGTATTTAGAGATTCTACCAGTTGAAAAATTCACAATTAATTTTATGAAAGTTGTCATCATTGCTAAATTTTAATATTTTATTATAGTTTTTATGAACTGTGGAATAGCTAACTGATGACTAGTTGGCTTGTACCAATAATTTGGATAGTATATTGGTCACTGAACAAATGGCAATATAATGTGGCATAAATTTAATGTAGTCTGGCCCTAGCCCTCTAAACAGATGTCATTGGCGTTCTTTTCAATTGTGTAAAATTTTAAGTGGTGCAATTACAGTTTTGTCCTCGGTCACTAAAATATGTACATGGCTCTTAATATTAATTGCTTTAGAGATTAATCTTAACTGTCCAATTCAACTATTAATACCTAATAAACATTACATGGTAAGAAAACAATTCAAAATTTTTGTGAGGGAGACAAGCGTAAGATGAAGCAATTAACCCCGCTATGTCTACCAATCCCCACCATCTCTACCGGTATCTATTCTATTATTATTATCCAGTCAATCAGTTGCTCACGATGACTCTGTGTCCTAAATGTGCAACAATACCATTGGCATAAAGGATAAATCTACATTAGTTTGCACTGAATTCAAATTAATATATCACAAAAAATGTATCAACGTCACTGATACACAAGTATCACAGCAATTAAAAAAAAATTGGTTCTGTATGACTTGTACAAAACCTAATAGTAAACAAGGTACAGTGGTCGTGGATATATTACAAGAGAGTAATATCTCCATGTTGGCTGAGGTAAAAAAGATCGCCGGGGACATTAAGGAAGTTAAATTCTCGCTCTGAAAGTAAAGCGATCTCGCTTTTGAAAATAATGAGAGACTTAAAAAAATAGCAGAGCTGACATAAGAACAAGAGGAAATTATAAGACGTTTAATTAGTGAAAATAAACAGTTAAACTGTCAAATAATTACACTAGATGTGAGGCTTAACCAAGCCGAACAAGATCAGCTGTCCGTGTACTCGCTTCGGCGGTACATATACTAACATTGGAACGATACAGAGAAGATTAGCATGGCCCCTGCGCAAGGATGACATGCAAAATCGTGAAGGTAGGGGGCGGGGTGGCCGAATAGGCTAAAGCGTGTGCACAGCACCACTAGTTGCCTGGCAACCGGATAACAGAGATTTGAGATGATATAAAAAGTACGAGTTCGCGTCCCGGTGCCGGAGGGGATTTTAAATTCCCCGCCCTCACCCCCCGGGAAAATCCCATATAGCCTAAAAGGCGAGGTAGGGAAGAAGAAAAAAAAAAAAAAAAAAAAAGAAGATCAGCTGTCCAATTTTCTGGAGATCCGGGGTATCACACCCAATGCAGGAGAATCTGCCAAGGCCTTGGTGTTTTCTATTGGTGCAGCTCTTGGTATAAAGCTGGGTGTTGAAAACCTATACTCTGTAGAAAGTGATAGAACCCTCTGCTACTGTCAATCGTCATGCGGTTCGTCCGACAGACGTTACGCGATGGAGTCGTCAGCTTACGCAAGGTCAAGAGAGAGTTTTCCACTAGGAATCTGGGCAGAGACAGCGACCCTTCCTTTCATCCCACGATCTAATTGAAATATCATACATCTCCACTCCTACACTTAAACCCAAACAAATTTCCTGGAGAGATTTTGATTTCTTAACCACTGAAAACAGCCTTTTTCTCTATTCCCTTTCCGCTTCCTTAGAACCTATTTTTGGTCCTGACTAAATACCTGTTAAAGTAATCAAGTAAGCCTTCTAGCCTTAGTATATAACTTCTCTCCAAAATTCCATTTTTCTCAAATCCTGGAAAAGAGCCATAGTCTGCCCACTGAACAAAGTTCCTTTTCCTTCACTAGCTTCCGACTTCAGACCCATCTCCATTTTATCCAATCTATCCAAGCCTCTAGAAAGTTTCGTTTAGAAATTAGTCCACTCTCAGTTTAACAGCTTTCTCGAGCAAAACCATCTCCTTAATCCTTTATAATCTGGTTTCCGTTCCAATTATTCCACCCGGTCTGCCTTGCTAAGGATTACCCAAGACCTCAGACAGTCCCTATAGACAAACAGAAAATTTCCATCCTAATCCTTTTTGGCTTTTCCAAAGTGTTTGATTCCGTCAATCATGAGATTCTTCTGTCCAGGTCTCAACCTATTGATTTATATATCCCCTCCCATGAAACTACTTCCTTCAGCAAATTCTTCATCATTCGTGCTACCTCCTTTTGGAACTCTCTTCCTACCTCCATACGTCAATCCTCGTCCACAAATTCCTTAAAACATCTCTTGTTCCACCACCTACTCCACATTCGAATTTCTGCCAACACGTAAAATTACTTAACTCTGTATGCTATTTAATTTCAATCTACTGCACAATTGCAATAACAATCAACATTTAATTAGTTTGTATATTTTATTATTCTAAGCCAGACTAAGACCCACAAATTTGTAACTCTGTTATTATTCTTAGGGAATTGTAGTCCCAGAATAAAATTATTTTTTCATTTCATTTCATTATAAAAAGAAGGAAGGAATTAACTTTTTTAATCTTTGGTAGATTATAATGGTTATTTCCAAAAAACAGACCAAAGCATTTCTACAAAATACAATTGTCTAATAAAAATATTGTGATTTTGATTTTTTTTTTTTTGTTCAAATAAAAATGGAAAAAATGTCTAATCATTATAAGTATTATTAATCTTTAATTGTATGCTTTTTGAGTCATGCATAAATGAAGTTTCTTTTTATACTTAAGAAGAAGATAGAAGGGAGTAGGGTAGCTCATTGGTAGGCCATTGATCTTTCAATGCTCAAGGTGTCCCGGGTTCGAATCCTGGATCATGGCAGATAAATTATTTATTCTGTTTCATCAGCCATGAGATGACCCTTAGATTAAGAGACCCTCCTGGGGCACACCCATTCTTTATAAAGTTGGTACCCTTAATTAACTAATTGGTTAAGGGGGAAAACCTGGCAGTTGAACGTGATCTCAGTCAAATCACCTCCTTGCACAGCCGTTACTTAGAAACAGTACTTTCCCTAAATAGTATTGACTAAGACCCTTCATAGGTTGTAGTGGTTCAGATTATTTTATTTTTATTTTTTCTAAGGAGAAGATAATCTTCTATATAAAGGGTCGATCATCAGAAAAAATATTTTTTTTTTTCATTGGTCTACATTTGTTTCTGTGATTAGTCTGAGCTAAATACTTAAAAAATCACAAAATGGACTCTGTAAATTAGAATGCGTATACAGCTACTAAATAAAAAGTTTTATAATTATCCCTAAGAGCATTATTATTCCTGTAATTAATGTTTTTTTAGACCGGCTGTTTAAAATAACTTAAACATCATTTTATTTTGTATCTTTCTTTTTTTATTCCAGAGTAATTATCGTTATAAAAAAAATTCCCTCCACAAAATGAAATCCTGAATCCGCTAGTGAGTATGATTTGAACTTTGAACCTCATCTCTCTGTCTTCTGCCCCTTATTGATTATTTTACAGCTAATAAGATTGAGTTATTATTATTTTTTAATTTTAGTTATTATTTTGTCATAATGTGTGCCCAAATTTTTGGTGTCAGTTTTAACTTTCACTTACATATGTGTGAAATATAAAGTAAGGGAAAGTACTGTGGTCATGAAAATTTTCAAATCCGAGTTTTCAATGTAAATACATGTTTTGAGGTCTCCTGAGTCCAAATAACCAAGTCTCGCAAAATGGTGTGTGTGTGTTAACAGTCTAGCTAAATAACAAAAAGTAATACAAAAGTTAAATTGCATATTTAATGTTTTTATATGCCTGGGATGTTGCAACTTTTTCGTCTAAATCGGCTAACCGGAAGTGCCACTATCAATTTTACTTATTTTTACGATTTTCTCAGAAAGACTCTTATTATTTAGGTTAAATTCATTATATCTGTGTAAAATTAAGCATTTTTTAATATAATGTAGGTTTTATTCTCATTGATATTCTCTAACAGAGCTTCAATGGCTAATTTTCAAAATTTCTTTCTTTAAAGTACTCTTAATTTTTTTATTTGAAATAATTAACCATTGTAATCTGGTATAAAAAAAAATGGTTAAATATAAAATATGAAAGAATTTGTTAATTAACTAATGGAGAAATAAGAGATCGTAACAGAGAATGGTAGTAGAGGGATAGAGGGATCAATAAATAAATAAATATACCCACAATGAAATATAAATAAATATAGCGGTGTTCTTTATCAGTGGCACTCACTTGTCAGACTACAATTATTTCATGAAACTTAATTATTTATTATAATCTAATAAATAATTGAAATATACAGTTGTAGAAGGAAATGGTTAGTGACAAACAAAATAAATATGATTCATTAGACCACTAGCGGATCCAGGTTTCAATTTTGGGGAGGAGGGTTCAGCCCGAAAGTTTTTTTTTTTTTCATATATATAACAATAATTGCTTTGGAAAAAAAGAAAGAAACTAACAACCTATATGAAATGGTGTTTAAGTGATTCTTGAAGTCCTATTAAATGTAATTACACTAATAATAATACTTTAAGAGATAATTTTTTTCCATAAAACATGGTTGTATTTTACCATTTTGGGGAGGGAGCTTCAGCCCTAAAGTTTTCTTTTTCATATATATAACGATAGTTGCTTTGGAAAAAAAAGAAAGAAACTAACTACCTATATGAAATGGTGTTTAAGTGAATCTTGAAGTCCTATTAAATGTAATTATACGAATAATAATACTTTAAGAGATAATATTTTCTATAAAACATGGTTATATTTTATCATTTTGGGTAGGTGGGCCTTCCGCCTGAAATTAATTTTTGAATCCTATGATGGTATCCTACTAAAATTTGTTTGAAAATATTGATGTTAACAATTTTTTTTTTTTCAGCCTTGCAAATTTGGGATCAACTGTACAAAAGGTACTTGCGAGTTCGACCATACTCAGCTTGCTAAAAATCCTTATAAATGGGTCAATCAAAATGCAGAATGACTCCTGTGGACTTTTTTATAATAGTAAAGGAATTGTATATAGTCAGATGGAGTCAGTTTTTAATTGTTAGTCCATTTTATGTTTTAAGTTTTTATCTTTTGTTTATTTTATGTATGAGTCAAATATTTAAAATTCTTTGTATATAATTTTAATTTTATTATTTTTTCAGTTTATATTTATTTTTAGGGAACAAAATGAAGATTTAGTGAATTTTTGTTTTTTACTTCTATATGATAGGTTAATTATTAAGTTACCATCTATATCCAACTTACAGAAGTTTTTCTTTCTTTAACCTATATTTATTAAACTTTAAATCATTTGGGAAGTTTTTATTTTTACTTCTTTTTATTAAAGCAAATTTATTAACTGTATTTTATACAAATGTAAAGAAAAAATTATGATAATTGATACATCATTTGCCTTTACAAAGTTGTAATTGAATCTGAATTAATTATATTAATGAATAATTTTACCAATAGTACTTGTTTAATTTAGTATTAAATATTGTGTTTAATGACTTACTACTATTAGTTACTAGGTAATATATGTTCACATGAAAATAATTTTTTAAATAAAATTATTGTCAAATGTGCAATGTATTGATCATGTTTGATTGATGGGTTTGAAATATTGAGAAGTGCTTTAAACTGTATAATAATGTACCATAAGTGTATATACATAAGATGTATAAATTTGTACCATAGATCAAGTTGAGTTTTTTGTTATAAAATGTTTATAATTCAGTTAACAATAAGTGATTAAACTGTCTTAGGGTTTAATTAGTCAAAATTTTCACTTAAACTTTTATATGAAAGAAATGGAAAAAAGTGAAGTGAAACATTCCTTATTCTCTTAGATTAAGAACTTTAAATACATCTTAAAAAATTGTAATCTGTGAGAATTGCTCATTAACCAACGTAGCTTTTTGTTATTACCTATATTTCAGTATTAATAGTGTCATTTTATCTCTCGAAGAGAGGTACAGTATATTATATTAAACCCATTTCAAAAATGGATTGAATTCATTTTATTGTTATAATGCCATTTGAATTTAACTATTAAAGATTTATTATTTATTTTATAATTTCATTTATTAGAGTTCGAATAATGTAATATTTGTTTAATCTGTTACTCATTTAAGTATGTTTCATTAATGTATAAATTAGTTTCTTATATTTCTTTCTTTATAATATATTTCCTGAAGCTGAAGAGCTATCAAAATGAAATTTTCTATTTATTTTTGTTTTTACTGTATGTCAAGAAACAAGTTTTTTTACTTAAATGTTTTATTTTGTTTTTCTAAACAATTTCCTTCACTACAATTTGTTTCTTTGAGTAAAGTAACTGTATCTTTTATACTAAAGATTTTTATAAACTTAGTTTTTTCATGTTTTGCTGAACAATTTTTATGTGTTAAACAGCAATGTTTCTGTTTTCCAATGTTGATTTTAAACTGTCAAATTTTAGTATAGCAGTAGAAGAATTGTATTAATATAAATTATTGAAACATAAGACTTGTTTTATTCATGACATAAAATTTTACAGAGCCAAGAAAATTTAAAAAAAATAAAATTACTATTAGTTTGCATCTGTTATTATTATTATTAATTGAGGATAATTTTTTATTTTCGGAAATTTTTAATTTATGTTTTACTTAAAGGAATTGTTTATTATTGATACCCCTATGTATCATGGACCGAAATAAACCACTACCTTCTGCTCTGTTCTAAAAAAAAGTACTTTCAATTATTATTTTTTAGATAAAAGGTTAATTATAAATTATAAATTTTAAGTTTGATTTTATTTTCTTATAACAAATATTTTTACTTTTAATTTTTGTGAGGAAAAAGAAAGGCTTTATTTAATTATGAAGCTATTAATGGCATTTTACTATTGAATAAAGCAGTATGCTAATTTCTCCTAGTTGGATTTATTTTTTACTGTATATAATAATGTAGATTTTTTTTTCTGTTAAAACAAATTAAACTATTTGAAGATATTGATGCAGGAACACTTATAACTTACATTAGAAAATATGAGCCTTTGTATGGCAGAGTAGTGTAATTCATTTTCATCATAAAAATCTGTGTTTATTAACTAAATGCTTTTCAATAGTTTGGAGACAGAACTGACTATTTTTAAAATAGAAAGTAAGCCGTCATTTTTACCGACTATCTCAAAGCTTCAGTTTTTGACTTACACAACTTTTACATTCAACTGCACATACATTATTTGAATTTGGGTTTATGTTTCAAAACTTTTCCTTAGAACAAAAAGTGGAAACTGAAATAATATAGAATTTTAAATGTTCAACATACTGAATTGTTGTCCATTAGATTGGAACAAGATTAATATTTATCTTTGAATCATCACGTCTTAACTAACATTGACAGTAAAATTAATTGTAAATCGTTTTATCTACGAAACAGTATGAAGTTTTTAATACATTTGCGTTTGTGCAATCGATTACAATGGTTCATTACTGAAAATAATAAACCAAAAATATTTAAAAATCCTGATATCTTTACTAATAATGCTCTGATTTCGACAAAACTTTTTTCTTTTGTTTTTTAGGAAATTTAAAAACCTTTGAAGCACCCCTTAATAAAAACTACAAAAAGCATATACTTTTTACATTATTCGGAAATCTAATTTTATCATCCTTCGTAACCTTGTTTTCCAGTTTCGTTTCGTTGAAGTATGTTATTTAAATAAATTTATAGAGGATTGAGGAGAAAAGTTTAGGCGATACAGCCTATACCACACAGGTCTTTTGGTAGCCATCTTGAAGGGAAGTACTTTTCGGTGAAGTATGTTCTATACATATATTTAAAATGCATCACGAAGAAGACTAGGCGAGGTTCATTGAAATCAGTACATTCGTTTAGATGCTACAGTCTATTCTAACACAGGTTTTTCGGCCGCTATTTTAAAAGCAAAGGGCAAATGGTGATATCGAAGGAGGATCATCAATGGGTGACTTCTGGCTTTGATTCCAAATCTCCATAAAATCGGTCCAGTAGTCTCGGAGAAAAGCCGCCGACTGACAAAAATTGTTTATTCTATTTTCAAGCTCTACCTAATTGCAAAACTTTTTTGTAGGAGCTTAACTTTTTGAATTGTTTGTACGATTAAAATGCTTCATTGTTGAAAATAATAAACCAATAATATTGGAGGGTAGGGAGGTGATCGGAGGGCGATCGCCGAAATGAGGACGAGAATATCAAGAGGTAGAGAAGAACAAAAAAAAAAATATATATATACATAGATAAGTAAAAGTAAAAAATAAAATAATATAATTATTATTAACAATTAAGTATATTATCTAATTCTTTTTATTATTTTATATCCCAACATATATTACTTCACTAACCTCGAAATCGGTTTTGTACCAAATATAAGCATGTCAAGAAAGGGATATTTTCATTCAGAATTTCATGGGTAGTTAGCGAATTGTACTTTCCATTTTCATAAAATAAATAACGCGAACATAAAAATTTCTGTAGGCTTCAAAAGTGAGATAGTGGCAAGTCGGTGGATCGAGGTGGGGTTTTGAAGATTTAGATGCGGATTAGAGGTTAAATTCAAATGACTGATGAGGTTTACTTGAATTGAGTGAAAATTTAAAAACTAATATTTATTAAATAATATTAATAAAAATTAAAGTTGTCATTTGAAACTGTCACATTGCTGCTATGAAACAATCATTTTAACACTTTATTGACCAAACCCTGCTTTCCTTAGTTCCAACCCTACAAAGCTTCAAGAAAATTCCTAACTTCCGTATCACGCCTTCGCCTCAACCACAATAGCCTTCCATCCCATCTCTTTAAAATAAACATCTTGGACTCTCCTTATTGCTCCTCCGACTATTGCTCAATATTCAGTGACAACCATATTCTCCTTTCCTATCCAAATACATCCACTGACGGTGATTCCTTTTACCATTTCCTCATCAAAAATAATATCTCCCTCCCTACAAGAATTCCTGGAATCCTTACATTAACCTGTAAACATAAAAATATGTACACCTTATTTAGCCTTATTATTAGCACTTCCAATAAAAGAAAAAGAAAAACAGGCTATTCGAGTGAAACATTTCATGGACCAAATTGTTTTTTTCTCTCAAAAGTTCTAATATACTGTTGAAAAATTATCATGCATTTTTTTTAGTTTTAAAAATAATTTAATCGGAATATTTAAGAAATAAAAGGGAGTAGCCAAAACGCCTGCCATTGTCCACAGAGATATAGTTTTTTTTTAATTTTAATTTAACTATCTCACCCTTGGTAGTTATTTATTAGGCCCATATAATCCATATTTCGATTAAATTTTGGAAATTTAAACAAAAAACAAGCTTGTTTGTGGATCTCAATGGTGAGCGTATACGTGATCAGGGGTGCACACTCCCCCCCCCTCCTAAGGTCGATGGCGCAAGAATCTATCCTCCCAAGATATTTTATTGTTCACCTTTTCTTAATAACATGGTCTACAGGGAAGGCCACGCTGAGAGTTTTAATACTTAGCGCTAAAGAATAGATTTTTCCTTTTTATTGGTGTTTAATTGTATCTACTTAAAACGAATCTAATGGTTTTCATCCTTACCTCGCTGTCGTTTTTTTTTTTTTTTTTAAGTCGGCTTTAACAATGTGGGCTATCATATAGGCCCTCTAAACGTTACTCCTAAAAATAAGAAAGAAATAATTTTTGTTGCATAACTTTTTTTTTTTTTTTTTTTTCCTACGCCTAAGTAACGCCTGCTTCGTTAGCCATGCGTGCTCTTGCAGTCCAATACAATTTTGCTCTCCGAGTATAATAGCTGTCCATTTCATTAAAGCAACATCTTATGCCCTGTAATGCAGGGCATGTATCCAGATGTTCTCCTGTCATTATGTCTAAGGAACATAGAGGGCATGTCGGGCTATCTTTTACACCGATGCGGTGGAGGTGCTTCTGAAGGAAATCGTGGCCTGTCAGCATTCTAAAGCATGCCACGGCTTGCCCTCTAGGGAGGTCTCTAGGAATCCTGCCACTTTCTTCCAGCAATCCACTCCATCGTTTCCCTTCAATTGTTTGTACATATTTCGCTTTCAGTGAACTTTGGAGGGTCTGCTTTATGATTCTTTTTGTTGAATCCATGGTCAGAGGAATATCGGGTTGGATCATTCCAGAACCTATTCTGGCCAGTTTATCAGCTTCATCATTTCCGTGGAGCCCGCAATGGCCTGGTATCCACTGGAAAGCGACTTCTGTCCCATTTTCCTTTAATTGGTTCAAATATTGATGGCATTTAGGAACATTTGGATTTATACTATATCCATTT